AAAAAAAAAAAAAAAGGAAGAAAGAAAGAAAGATGCTCAGCTGTGCTAAACTCATGGTTTTCCCGATCTAGTTGATCTGGGGTTCTGTTCTCTTTTGTGAGTGTCCCCTGTTAACCTCCACTGGCCACGTGTTGGGGGTTTTGAGACTCCAACTCAAAAAAAAATCGACAAGGTGCTGGCTGCCCACCTCATCTGCTCCCCTGAGAGCAGTCCCCCAGTTCCCTCTTGAGGAATCCTACCAAGGATGGGAAGGGAAATGGAGTCCCTGTTTCTGGTCAGGGCGGGTCTGTGACTTGGGCCCTCGAAGGGAAAGCCCAGCTGGTGGGTGTCCGAGGGGGCAGAGTGCAGGCCAGATTCTTCTGCATGCTAGTGCCTCCCCTGCCCCCGATTATGGAAGCATCTCACCCCCCCCACCCCCTTCTAGAAACTCCTTTTTGCCCTTCCAGAACTGGCTTCTGTGGCTTGAACCATTGCTGTCCATGCTCCCAGAAGATAGGATATAGTGTCAGATTGTGTGGAAAGTCCCCAACCCCAAGATGTGCTACCGTGTGGCTTCACGTTCTTAGGGAGCTGCCTTCGTGACCCCTGACACAATCTCTCCCTTTGTTAGACCTTACCCTCCTGTCGCTTGGAATTGGGGAAACTGAGGCACTCAGCGTTAGGATGTCCAAGTGTCCCTCTTTTAGTTGAGGGAGCTATTTAAACCAAAGGAACACACCCAGTCTCGTTCTCTGACTCTCGGTTTAGAAGATCCACTAGGATTGGCTGAAATCTCCTTACCTAGGGGCATTTAACTGCCGTGTGAAACAAAACGCCTGTCGGCTAGGCGTCCCTAGATGCCTTTTGCGTAGGGGCCTGGGGTGGGAGAGGATGGTGCCCTCAGATGAGGGTCAGGAGAGTCACAGATGGAAGGGCAGGGGTGGCGTTGGGTCTGGCCTCACCCAGGTGAAGCTGGTATCCGCATGGCCTCCTGGCTGGCAGGTGCTGTGTGTGTGCCAAGCTGTGTTTGCGCTCAGGTGTGCAGCCCCTGACCTTGACGGCCGCAGAGACCCCCAGGAGGTTGCCCCATGGGCATCGCAAGGCAGACCCAGAGGGCTACACCCTTACAGAAGAGGCCGGAGCTCTCAAGGTCTCAGGAAGTAGAAGCATTATTTACAAAGAACATATTAAAAATGTACTCGCCCAGGTAGGGACAGCAGACAGGGGAAGGGGTGCCGTGTTAGGAAAAGGGCCCCCTCTAGATGTCCCAGCATCTTTGCTTGGAGGGGCTGCTTGTTTCTGGGCTTTGCCTACTGCGCCTTCCATGCCTGGGGGGTGGGGGCGGCCGAGCTGTCGTGGTGGTCTCTGTCGGGGCCCGGGTCTGGTGGGGCCGTGAGCGCTGGCCTGCCACTGCAGGACAGCAGCACCTGTCCAGAAGGCTCCCTGGCCTCCATCCACGTTCTGGCTGGGCTAGAAATCGAGACATCCTGTCCAAGTGGTAAGTGCAGAGTTTTCTGAGGACAAATAGGGCTGACTCTTGCTTTTTTGTTGCCAGTTCTGTGGGAAGAGAACAAAACTTCAGAGGAAGACACCCCAGAGGTGATTCAGGGAGGTGGGGGACAGGGCCCACGCCCTGTCCTCAGTCTCAGGACGGCTGTATCAGCGGCTTCTCTTCCTGCTGGTGGGCTGTCAGCTCTACAGGGGTGTCATGCCATCACAGAGCTCCCAGGGGCTCTGTATGGTCTTCTGAGTGGAGTTTAAGAGATGATTTTTAGACCGGGCTCAGTAGTTCAGCCTGTGATCCCGGCACTTTGGGAGCCGAGGTGGATGGATTGCCTGAGCCTGCAGGTTTGAGACCAGCCCAGGCAACTTGGCAAGACCTCGCCTCTACAATAAATCAAACATTAGCCGGCATGGCAGCGTTCGCCTGTAGTTCTGGCTACTTGGAAGACTGAGGGGGAAGGATCGCCAGAACCCAGCAAGTTGAGGCTGGGGTGGCCGTGAGCCTGGGTGATGGAGTGAGACTCCAACTCAAAAAAAAAAAAAGATGATTTTTAGGGCCAAGCAAAATGGCTCACGCCTGTAATCCCAGCACTTTGGGAGGGCAAGGTGGAAGGATTGCCTGAGCCCTGGAGTTAAGAGACCAGCCTGGACAACAAATTGAGACCCTCGCCTCTCCAAAAAAAATTAAAGAATTAGTGGGGCATGGTGGAGTGCGCCTGTCGTCCCAGCTACTTGGCAACTGAGGCAGGAGGAATGCCTAAACCCAGGAGTTCAAGGATGCAGTGAGCTATGAGGTAGCCACTGCTCTCCAGTCTAAGAAATAGAGTGAGACTCTGCCTGAGAGAGGGAGAGAGAAAGAGAAGAAAGAGAAAAAGAGGGAGGGAGGGAGAGACTGAGAGAGACAGAGAGAGACAGAGAGATGGAAAGGGGGAAGGAGAGACTGAGAGAGAGAGAGACAGAGACAGAGACAGAACAGAGAGTGACGGGGGAGGGGGGCGGAGAGAGAGGTGGTGTTAAGGTCCAGATTCCTCTCTGTGATTGCCAGTTCAGTTCCCATCCCCTAAGCTGCGGATGCTTGTTCCTTCCCTTTGCAAGGACCGGGGGGCGGGGTCCCCTCCTCATGTGGGGTCGGGGCAGGGCTGAGGCCCTGAGTGGCGGCCGCCTCTCCAGGGCCAAGGGACCCTGCGGGCCAGGCGTCAGGTTGGGGATGCTCACCTCTCACAGCCTCTGTGCCCCATGCAGGTCGTAGTCGCTGTCAGAGGAGTTGTCCGGCTGCGTGCAGGTGCGGTGCAGGGCGCCTTCCAGAGCTAGGGGAGAGAGGAGGCCATGCCCAAGAGCTGGGGGCTACCCAGAGCCCCTTGCTGCCCACAGTGGGTTGGAAGATCACAGGGACTTTGTGGGGCCCGTGACAGCCCTGTATCTGTTTTGATCAGATCAGCCAAGCATTTGCTAATGGCGCCGAACTGTGGGCTCCCTGGGATGTAATTGTCCCGCCATCAAGGGCAGCTTCTGTGGGGGGCTCCTGCAGCCTCTTAATGGCTTGCTTCTGGCTGGAAGGAGTCCAAGGGGCCTCATTTACCGTCCAGGCCTAGCAGGGCAACAGACCCATTAGGTCACAGCAAGGCTGGGGTTAATGGCTTCCTTAGTGCCTTCTTCTCTGCAGATGGGGGACGCCCAGTCTCACCCGGGGACCGCTGAAGCCAGCGAGGGCTGGAGTCCCTCCACATCCCGCCGTGACTGGCTAGCTAACAGGTTGTTTGTTCCCCTTGTCCCCTGGGGCCTCCCTTCTCTCTTCCGGCCATCTCCTGGCCTTTGCGGGCATCCCACGACCTGTCTGGGCAGGGCTGGGCTCACCTGGGTAGGCCGAGGCAAGGGAGTTCCTGGGAGGCTGGCTGTACTCGTTATCCACGTGGGAGGCCGTGGGAGCCTCAGCCTGGGACCGGACGGTGGCCGTGTGGCTGCGATGGAACGACACTGCGCGGATGCCCGAGATGGGGTCGTTAGCCGTGCTGCTCTGTCCTCCTCCCCAGGGCCCAGGACATTACTTTCCCATTCCCATGATGCCGTGGGGAAGGGGGCAAAGGCACCCACAGCCCCTTCCCTGCATCCCCTTTCCTTTCTGGGAAGGTTCACACCATCAGGGTCAGCAGATTTTGTTTTGTTTTTCTTGCCTGCTTATTTGTAATTTCTTAATTAAAAACATTTGGGGACTGGGCGTGGTGGCTCAAACCTGTAATCCCAGCACTTTGGGAGGCCGAGGCGCGTGGATTGCCTGAGCCCGCGGGTTCAAGATCAGCCTGGGCAACTTGATGAGACCTCATCTCTACAATAAATTTTTAAAAAACTAGCTGGCCGTGGTAGTGTGCCTTTAGATCTGGCCACTTGGAAGGCTGAGATGGAAGGATCGCCAGAGCCCAGCAGGTTGAGGCTGGGGTGGCTGTGAGTATGCCACTGCACTCCAGCCTGGGTGACAGAGTGAGACTCCAACTAAAAGAAAAAAAATTTGGAGTCAGAGTCTTACACTGTCACCCAGACTGGAGTGCTGTGGCACGATCACGGCTCAGCCTCAATGTCCTGGGCTCAGGCAATCCTTCTGCCTCAGCCTCCTGAGTAGCTGAGACCACAGGCACGCATCACCATGCCCGGCTAATTTTTTATATTTTGTAGAGACGAGGTCTCGCCATGTGGCCCAGGCTGGTCTCCAACTCCTGGGCTTAAGCAGTCCTCCCGCCTTCGCCTCCCAGAGTGCTGGGATGACAGGTGTGATCCACTGCACCTGACCTAGCAGCAGGCTGCTAGAACAGCTTTGGGTCGGCCCACTGTCTGCTTGGGGGGGGCCTTCTGTCAGTCAGTCAGTCAGGCATCAAGCATTTATCAAGCAGGCAACTGGAGTACAGACGGCAAGGCAGATGTGTTCCCTGCTCTGCAAGAGTTGTGGGCCTTTAGGTTACACAAGGACTGGACAGCACAGCCTTCTTGAAAGATCTGGCTCTGGGCACCCCCCCCTTGGGAAGATGGGAGAACGCGGAATTGGAGGCAGGAGGAGGGCTAAGTTTCCATCCACTAAGGAGGCTCTGGCTGTGGGTAGAGGGGGAAGACCACGGTGGGGTGCACCAAAGTGTTCTAAAATGGGTCCTGTGAGTTGTTCAGTGATAAGACTAGCTTGGATGACCCTTTTTAATCTATCTCTGCTTTGGAGATGAACAATGCAAAAATGCCTGGCAAGGTTCCGAAAAGTCCTGCAATCAAGAAACATGCTCAGCTTGTCATCCCAGCACTTTGGGAGGCTGAACTGAGAGGATTGCCTGAGCCCCGGGGGTTCGAGACCCTCCTGGGCAACATGGCGAGACCTCATCAATACAATAAATTTAAAAAAAATAGCTGGGCGTGGTGGTGCATGCCAGTAGTTCCAGCTACTTGGAAGGCTGAGGCGGAAGGATCGCCTGAGCCCAGCAGGTGGAGGCGGCGGTGGCCGTGAGCGTGCCACTGCTCTCCAACCTGGGTGACAAAGAGTGAGACTCTAACTCAAAAAAAAAAAAAAAAAAAAGGAAAGAAAAAGAAAGAAAGAAACATGCTCAGCTTCGCTGACCTCATGGTTTTCGGGATCTGTTTGATCTGGGGTCCTCTTTTGTGAGTGTCCCCTATTAACCTCCACTGGCCACGGGTTGGGGTGCTGCCCCAGGAGGTGCAGGCTGATGGGGACACCAGAGACAAGGCAGGAGATGGGGGTCGGGGGGAGGAGCACCATGGTCGCTGAGGCTTCGGTGGTAGAAACCTCTCAGCCACCTGCCCCATCCAGAAGCCTGGGCCCTCCCTGGTGTGGGGGCCCCTGTGGGCCACGGTCACACCTTAGATGACACCGTGGAGATCAGAGGCCTCTGGCTCTGTCTGTGGTCAGCAGAGAGCCTTGACTCGGCTTCCACAGGGAAGGCCGCTGCCTCTGGGAGCACTTACTGTTCTGGTTCACCGCTGTGGGGCCAATCCACTGGCGCTGCTTCTTCTGGCGGACTGGGTGGGCGACAGGCAGGAAGGGCACGTCAGGGCGGTAGGACAGGAGGGGTGCAGGTGG